CTTCCTTCCTTCCTTCCTTCCTTCCTTCCTTCCTTCCTTCCTTTATTTATTCAGTTTGTATCCTGCTCCCATTAGTGTCACAGCACTACATCAGGCTGAGTTGTTGGTAGGTTGCTCAGAAAAGTATGTTAGGATGTATATAGAGCCCTTCCAAATGGCTAAGGATTTTGTTAATGTTTTAATGAGAGATGGGATTTGCTCCTTAGATTTCGGTTGAATTGGCTGTTTCTGATACTGAAAACTCTCTTCAAAAATGAACATGATATAATTGTCAGCGAATGTCCAAGCATGTTTTTAAATAACTTTGATACCATCAAAAGGGAACCTTTTAGAGCTGCCTTTGTCCTCCTGCAAATGAAGACAACTCCCAAGGCAGTGAGGCACCCACTCTTTCCATAAAGGGGTCAGTTGTGTCTTCATCACTCACTGTATGATAGGCATCAATAAAACAGATGAAGCTTCTTCCTTTTATGGTTGTGCAGTAATGAAATAAATCATGCTTGCTGAACCCCCTGTTGAGATTATTTCTTTTCCACCTCCTTCTTGGCCAGGTTTGCTGAAAAACACAGTCCAAAGGAAAGCATAAGCAAAGGAGCCCAGAAATTTCAGTAATTTTTCTGTGTGAGAGAGACTAATCTTTGCTGTATCTTTAAAATAAAAGAGAGAACAAGTGGCGTCAAAAGGTCTTCCATAGTGATCAGATGTGGCTTTAAGGCAACGTTCATCACTGAGGATATGCCATGAATGACATGTTCATCTTCCAGCCAAAACTCTGATGGGCGCAACATCTCCCAAATATATACTAGGTGATCAATATAGAAATACATTGACCACGTGCAGAGAGTTGTGTTCCACAGAAATGTACATGGATGGCACATTCTATGGACGGGGTGGCCCTGGCAATCACTCTTTCCCCACACGTGATACCCTTTCTGAATGCTTTCTGATACTGGGTGCCTCTGCCAACACCTTTGATTCTCCTCTGTGTCTTCTGAAACCTTTGCATCTCAAAGCTTGTCATGTTTTTGCCCTCTTCGGAACTTACGTGGGTGAAAGATACAACAAGAGGGAGAAGGGTGTATGCCATTTAAAGCCCTTGGCACCATGGCTGCTTCTCCCACAGGTTAGGGTGTGATGAGAGTGTTCCAATTGCCACAGGGATGGAAGCTGTGGCAATTGGAATATACAATATTCCAATTAAATATACAATATTTTAATTGTATTTTACCATAATTGTTTTATCTTTTTTACTGTATTTTAATTGTTTTAAGCCGCCGAGGGACCTTTGGGTAGTGTGGGCGGCATATAAGTTAAATAAATAAATAAATAAATAATCTTGGGCAGTTTCCTCCTCCCTTCGTGGGAGCTGCAAGAGTTTCTCTTGCCACATATGTGGGGGCTTGCGAAATGGCAAGGAGAACAAGTGAAACAAAGAAATTAATCATGTGACTCTAAAAACATAAACTGTCTGCCCTGAACTGCTATGGAAGGAAAGCTAATTCCAACCCATTCACAAACATATTCATTATAGATGATTAAAACAAAGAATGCTTGCAAAAGAATATGAGAAACACAAAAGAAAAACAAATAATATTGACACACAATGAGTTACACAACATGGATACAACAATGGGGATT